CCATACTCTTCATTGAGCAGACTCAAGTTTGGGGACTGAAGCAAATTTATTTTCCAAAATAAAATTTAGAATTCAAATGCAAATTTAATTAATAATCCCAAATGGATTTAAGAAAAAAAGCTGAAAGGTGATCCTAAAGTTCTTCCAGAAATATACACAAATATACAAGTAAAATAATGAGGAGGGATGTCTGAATTCGTAGTGTTAGGGACATTCTGAAAAAAAGATAAAATAGGACCAGCTCTAGGAGGTATTAATCTATGGTCATGGAAACAGCTCAGAAATAGTGCATTGACAGTATGAATGAAATAGATTTCAAGAATAGATGCAGATATTTATAGGATTTTAGTAATATTGTAAAGCTGACACTTCAAATCAGTGGATTCAAGTATTGGAGTAATTAGCTAAATCATTGGAAGACCTGGTACAGAGTCCTCACTTTTGACATTAAAATAAATTCCAGATAGATTTTTTTAATTAAAAAAAATCAGGAAAAACCCCAACATGGTTTATTTTAATCTGTTCAGATTTTCAAGTGAGAAGAACTTTCTAAAAAGCTTTTGGAACCAAGACCAACAACAAAGGCCGATCAACTCAGCAAGGCCAGAAACACTCACTGTAAAAACAAAAATAACCCTCGCCTGACCCTCTCTCATGACCCTGTATTGCTCTCTGATACATTCTACACTTTCTTCTTCCCTTTAAAGTCACGTTTCTTGGAGAAGTTCCTACAGCGATGACTGAGCCAAAGCTCCAAGCTGGACATCCTCCGTGGCCCTCACTGCGGCACTCAAACAGGAGTTGCCCTGTTGGCGGCTGCGTATTCCAAAGCCAGTGGACATTTTCAGTCCCTGTTTATTTGATCACCAGGTAGCTATTGATATGGCCAAATATTTTCCTCTCTGTGGAATGTTTTCCCCCTTGATTTTTGTTTTACCTAAATAATTTTAAACAGCCAAGGGAGAAAAGTGTGTATGTACTTAGCCTTTACACACCAGATCTGTGTGTATGCCTAAGTGTAGTCCTCCTTCTCTTTCTCCCTGCCGTCTTGGCAATTAAAGGTGGGCTTTAGCTCTTGCTTTTCTGATCCCCACACCCACCTTTCTCATTATGCTCCTTTTAATCAGTGTTCAAATCCCTCTTAAGCCAGGTTGCAGCCTTCCCTGTGTTGGCACGAGTCTCCACTAGTTTTCTCCCAGCTGTTCTGCTATTCCTCTTTCTCTTGGTGGATTTCTCTTCTCCCATTTGCCCTGTACATGTCCCTTTTCCCCAGGTCCTCATCGTCACTTCTCTGCTTAGCGTGCCTGAATCGCCCCGGGGCCTCACTCGCAGCTCCTCTGAGCTCCCGACTGGTGAATCCAGCGTAACAACGGACATCACCCCTCAGATGTCCCACAGACACCTCACACTCAAAATACCCATCATGGAACCATTTCCTCTCTTTATATACCACCCTGCAGATTCGGTCTCCGGAAGGTTAGCTCAGCGACTCTACGCCTCACCTGCCATTCCAGTCACCTCTGCAACACTTACCAAGTCTGTCTCCCGAATCTCCATTCCTATGCCCACAGCCTCTCTGCAGGCGTGCATCACTTGGTGTCTACGTTACCTGGGGTGGCCCCCTGAAATATCTTCTTCTCCCCAAATACAGGCCTCCTCCCAAAATAGTCCATTCTGCTTCCGGAATAATCGGCTCATTTCAACATAAACATCATGCAATTCTCTTGCTCACAAATATTCCAATATATCCCTGTTTCTTTAAGGGCAAGTTCAAGTCCCCCGGCTAAGCACACAAGACCCATCATGACAGAGGCCTTGCGTACCTGATCTTCCCACCTATGGATCCTTTGTTCTAGCCCTACTTGTCATTCTTCAATCTGGCCAAGCTGTTTCACGCCCGTGTACTCTTAAATGTCTCTACCTCTTTGCATGAAGCATTCATTCCCTCCACCACACGTTAGAGAGCTAACTTCCATTCACCTTACAAAATCCAGTTCAAATATCTCCAGCTCTAGGAAGTCTCATTTGTGTTCACATGCTTATAGTACCACCAACTACTCACCATCCTTCAGCTGGCCTGGTGCATGCAGACACCGAGTCTTACCTGTCTCGAGTCTCCCCAGCAATTGATACAGTGTTTGGCACACCAGGTGCTCAGTGTTTGTTGGATGGATGGATGGATGGTTGAATGAGTACAGAGATGAGAGGACTACACACCCTCCCCAGTTACTCAGCTGCCATTTTGGAAGGTTCATCCTGCAGAGACGAGGAAACGTCAGTGCAGGTGGTGGGCAGACGCAGAGCAGAGGTGAGGGTGTGGGGGAGACAGGCCTGGTCCTGGAGAGCGTGGGGGGGGAAGCACTGGAGAGAGACGGAATGAAGGGGGTGGGTGCAAGAGATGCTGAAGAACAATTGATATTAACTGGAGAAAATTAAATGGAGAAAATATTACATGAAGCGAAGATCAAGTGAACTCAGCAAGGGTGGAAGAGGCAGTACCAGAGACAAAGGGGGCTCACTTCATCACTCACTGCATTTCACTTAGGGCACCAGCCCACGGGGAAGGCACCGCCAAATTCTCGAGAGACTGGTGTTTGCGCTGTGTAGTGAGTGCTCTAAGTACAAAACGGTATCTTATGGCTTCCAGATTTTAAGGCTGACAGACTATTTCTCTTATGTCCCATGTCTGAGTTCTCAGAAGTCAGGATCATTCGCTGGTGGAGCTGGGGGGAAGCAATTTTGGTTAATACCCCCAGGGTTACTCTAATCTCAAAGGATGGTGGGGAATTCATTAAAAAATAAAAAAGGAATTTCACTCAAAAAAAACATATGCCATATGGAACTTGGTGGGGGCCATGGAGGCAGTGTTACCATAAACTCAGCTCACAGTTGTATGTGTGTGTTAAATCTCCAAGCTCAAGTCACTTAAACGTGTATGAGGACTAGGGTCCAGGCAGTGGTGCTTTGGACCAGGGCTGGAAGATGCAAAGGCCTGACTACTGTCTCCAACAGGATCAAGTCTAGCCAGGGAGCACAATGGACACAGGGACAGAATCACACACCATCAAGACAGGAGTCAAGTGCGATTAATGCCTAGAGAGGAGAGCAGAAAATCTGGGTAAAAAGTGGAGGGTTCCTGCTGAGGCTTGGCAGGAATCCCTCCAGGCAGAGGAGGAGACCAGGGCTGGTGGCTGGGTGCGAGGCCTAACTCAGCAAGGGTGGAGGGCTCCTGGGTTCATCTGTCCAAAGTGTTCCCCTTCAATAGCTGAGAGGCATAACTAAAAAGGCAGGCAGGGGTGTCATTAATGATTATGGGGAAAATTGGAAGGAGGAAGCTGTGGTCAGGAGATCACCACCAAAGGCACTCTATTTTAGAGGAACAAAAATAATTCAGAAAGCACTTGGAAATTCTATCTCCCACGAACCAAAAGAGCAAAAAATAAGTTTCACTCTGGTGTTGAATACAGAATAACTCAGAAACTGATTAATTTTTCTAGTTCATTAGCAATTATTTAGATAATAGGAAAACAATTTAATAAACCTGAAAAATGTCTCTATAATAGCTGTTATTCCATCCTTTCTTGCAGGGTAGGGGGAGGCTGATTTCTTAATTGGTAATTATTTTCATGAGACTCTGAAGTTCCAAAAGTCCTATCAGTTTCTCCCCAAAGCATACAACTTCCTTTCAATGCCCTTTATTTGACTAACTACAGAACAATAACTTTTTTCCAAGGCTCTTTTTTTGTGTGTGTGTTAAGATAACAAATGATATTCTGTCTCCAGAATGTTGTTATTATTAATGCTGATAATCGGTCCAATAAGAAATATTTACAATTATGACTCATTTTGGAAAAACAGGTCATTGGCTTACAGTCCTTTTGAAAATCAGCAGAATAAACAAATAGCTTCTACACCCTTAATGGAACCTGGCCCCGAAAAATAACAAAAGCAAAAAATGAAATTCAAATCAGACTCCAGGCTGCAAGGCATTGTTGACTGAAGACGCTGCAAGATGAACCTTTCACTCACTGAAGGAAGCAGATGCGTTTCCGTGTATAATGTATATTTTTAAAAGCAATTATTTTATATATAGAATGTGATTTAATAATAAAACAAACAAAACCTCCCTCTATCTGCAGACTTATAAACAGGGAGCACAAAGGGGTGTCTTTGCAAACAGGAACCCCTATGCATAAATGCAAAGCCTGTCAAGCAAAATCCTCTCCTGTTCTCCCACGCTTAAAAAAAACTGTAATTCAAGGCAATGGTGAGCTGAAAGGGCACAGATACAAAACACGTACATTGTTAGCCTTCTGGTAGATAAGAGCGTGCCATGCATAATAGACAAGATGACGTTTACTATGGAAATTTATTTTGAGGTGCATCCATTTAAAGGCAACTGAAAGCTCAAAAACAAGTTCAACCGAAGAGAAAGAGAGACCAAGCAGATAGTACAGGAATGGACAAAGACGTTGGAGAAGGAAGGGATCTGTGCTCAACCTTAATTTCAGACCAGCAAATTCGTCCTGAGTTCAAGCCAGTGATGTGCCATGAGGTCACTCAAGGAACCAGGCAGAAACCATCGGCCAGAGGAAATAGGGACAATATCAAAGGCAGGTGTGAGATGTGGAAGGGGTGACCCTGTGACCCTTGCTGCCACGAGGCAGGCTGCTCCCGCGGGCTTTCTGCACAGGCTGGCTGGCTCACATGACTCTGCTTAGAAGGGTATCAGCCAACAGCTGTGCTGCATGGACTCCAGCCCGAGCTGAGTCACGTCTAATAATAGTTCTGAGTTCATTCTTAGACAACATGGTCAGAACGCTCTGAGAATGAACGGTGGAGACGTACCTCAATGAATATTCCATTTCATTCCTTGGCAGTAAATCTTCAGCTTTGTACAAAATAAATATTGACAGAGATACACACAGTCACCTTATTTGAAAGCCTGATTGTATAATTTTATCTAATGGAGAAAAACGGACTCCATTTAGCTATGCTGGATAATTATTTGGCTCAATGACAGATGCTTCTGAGATCTAAAACATGTTCTAGTATAATGGATAGCACCAAAAACTTCACTAATGACTTACTCATTTCAAGGTATTCATAAAATAATCCCAGCTTGCCCATGGGCTGCAGATGGTAGTCCTGTTCCCATCGTGGGGTGTTCTTTTCTGCTCCCGAAACTGTGCGATACCGTCCAATGAGATTCATGACCCAGCTGCCAGAAAGACCAAATTATAAAGCAGAGTATTATCAGATCAAGGTCATAAAAGTATTACTGATATTTCAAGCTGAACACATCATCTTCCCAAGAATTTAATTTCTTGTTTTCAGGCAGAATTTCTTTTTATTGCTGCCTCCCTACCCCCAAATACTCTGAAAAACAGTACTGACTACGTACCTGGGTTTATCGAAATTGTAACGACTGTTATTTTATCTCCTACCTCTTTTTCAGGTGGGCATTTTAGTTCTTAGAAGATACTTTCCCTCATTTGATTGTCTCCCCCCACCCCGTTTCTCTGCTACTATTCAACATGGTCTTTCCGGTCTGAAAATCATCAGAAAAAATAAAAGAAAGAAAGACGGGGTCCGTGAGCTGGTGATAAGTGCTGTGGGGGAAAATAAACAGGGCGAGGAATGGAGAGTGTTTGCACTTGTGGTAGGGAGGAGTGGGGACAGGGCAGTGATCTTCGAATAAGGCAAAGGAGGAGGCAAAGGGGTGGGCAACGGAGGGGGAGAGGGAACGGTGATCACAGGCCTGGAGGCCCCTCACGCTGGACAGACAGCACGTAGGCAGGTGTGGTCCAGAGCGAAGAGGAAATAAGTTTCGTGGTTTTGGGGGTGAAGCCTAAGAGACTGCAATGAGGATATGGGTGTTGTTCCCTCGTAAGGAAGTAGGGAGCCATGGAGGGTCACTGAGCAGAAAGGTGATACTCTTGACATTGGATCAAACAGGTCCAAGCCCCTAAGTTAAGCTGAACAAATCAAGGGCCAAAGAAGTGATGCGCCCCCTCGAAGTCAGCGCAGAGCTTGGAGGAAACACAGCCTCGACTCGCAGCCCCACGCTCTGCCCCTCCTGGATGCTGTCCCACACAGCTGTCAGGAGTCTCTTAGGTTATCTTTTTTCCTCTCTCAGAGGCTTGGGGGCCAAGTGAATGCTTCCCCCTTTTTCGAATGGCAGTTTGTCCTAAAAAGAAATTGGAGTTGGCAGTGAAACAAGGCGCGCACCTGTAGCCTACAGAGCTGTTGTCCCCGAAAGCAACAGCTGGCGCGTGGTTGCCTCGCGGAGTTCAGCAGAAGAGGCAGAGCAACAACAAACAACTTAGCATCGGCTGAGCTATGGCTGATTGCACCGCACATGTGTATGGATTTCAAATTTGGACAGTGAGGAGGCTTCACATGAAAGGCAAGTGTATACACTGAGCACACATGTGTGTATACATACACACACAGACACACACAGAGTATAAGCTGTGACTTGTAAACAGCTGACCCTGCTGGCTTCCTGCTGCCTCTGATCTCAGCGTTAACTGTTTGCTGACTATGCCCCCAGGTTCGCTGTGGGGAGATTTTTCTGCAACGGAACATGCCCTTGGCTTCACCACTTTCCCCACTTCTTTCATTGACAGTAGGGGAAGAGCAGGGGGCTCTGGGAAGTGGCGGGGGATACGGACTCAAGACACCGTTGAATCTGAATCCACACTTCATGGCTTATTCATTATTTGACTTCAGTTATGTTCAAAATGCAACTGTTGCAAATCTCAAAAGATGATTTACACTTACTGCTGAGGCAAAATTTTGGTAGTTAGTAGACCCACCACTGGATCCTCTAATTTAACATGTTCTTCCTGTAATTCAGATGTTACTCTATCACAAATTTCCATTCCTATATTTTGATATCTGCTTCTCAGTACAATTATCTTCCTTTTTTACCCTCTAAATTTTGTGATTTTAAGACATTTTTCTGAGAAGAGGTCTGCAGGCTTTTTACCTACGATAAATTGATAAAGAGATCCAGGAGACCAAAACCACATTTAATTCCTGAGATAAACTCAACTCTGTCATACATATGGCTAGATTTAGTTTGCAAATACTTTGTTTAGAAAATTTTTGCATCAAACAGCAAGGTCCTACTGTATAGCACAGGGAACTACATTCAGTACCTTGTAATGGCCTATATAAATGAAAAAGAATATGAAAAGGAGTATGTATATAGGATAAAGGAATATATAGGAATATATAAAGGAATATACACATATATTCCTGTAACTATTCAAGTCTGAGGTTTGGCCAGAAACCCGCAGCTTGACACACATTTCAGGGGCCCTGAGGGCCACACTTGTCCATCACCCTTCATGGCACCCAAACTCTGGAGTCTCCTGGTTGACTTTTTGCTCTGCCTCACACTTCTTGCCTCACCCTCTTGTGGAATCCTCTCCACGCCCCAGAGAAGCAGGTCTTTTCCTATCGGGGACCCAAGTCCATCATGGTTTGGATTCAGGATGAAACTTCCATCCTGGCTTACACGGCTAACTCATCTGGCGCTTCCTCCTTGTACTGAACTGCCCTCCCCCGCCGACAGTATTAGGTCGTATTAGAAGTCCCGACTGGTTTGTTTTCCTGAGCTCAGACTCTGAGCCTCTTGTCCAGTCTTGCTGAGTGGGACCGCTCATCTATGGCAGAATATCTTGGGTTGTCGTCTACCCATCACTGTCCTCGGTCTTTTGGGTTTTCTGATGGATTATGGTTCTCTTGCAGGGATATTAATTTGCACATGAGACTCACCTATAGACCTTTCAAAGAAAATACAGACACTGGATCCTTCCTCCCCTGGCCGAGACTGGAAGCGTTCTCCCTCTAGCAGGGGTTACAAAATCATTTGCTTGGGAATTGACCACACATATTAGCATAAACACAATAAATTGCCTTTTACTCAGTACTTACCGTGTGCTCCATACCTCATTTTGTCTTTGTACCTTCACTATCACATTTAATCTCTATACTATAGATAATCACCATTTCTGCTGAGGACATTCCCTTTTGCTAATCTTGAATACAAGTATCCTTGATTCTCTGAATCTATTTCATTCCTGAGTTTCCTGTTCCTGAATTTAAACAGTGGGCGAGGGACACCTGTATTTAAGATTTCTCGCATTATATGTCTCTGACTCATCCTCTAACCAAATCATATCTGGAGAAGAGAGATTTTCTCTTTTAAGCATTTGCCTCTTCTTATTATATAAGTAGTGATACCCATTGTGGAAAATGCAGAAAATATAATAAAGGAAGAAAATTACAGCCATACATTATCTAAACACCAAAGGACAATGCTATGGCATTCTGGACATTTAACTATTTTTCTTAACATTTCATCATAAAATTTCTCCAGGGCAAGTTGCTTAACCCTGAAATTGTATTAGCCTTTTGTCAAGTGCAGAATAAAATTCCCAGAAATGGCCCCAGTATCAAAATAGTATGTGAGGCCGGGAAGGCCCACAGGGCTCTGAGCTTATTCTGAGTCCAACAAACAATGCTATTAATTTACTAACGTCACACATTCGATGCCTGTGAGTCACTCATTCAGTCAGCTGGCTCGGACGGAGCACCTACTAAGTACCAGGTGCCGATCCAAGTGCTGGAGAGACCCCAGAGGGAGCCTGGATCACAGCGTCACTGTCCTTCATTGCCCCCCGAATCCTAGTCAAGGACCCCATGTGGAATTGAGGGGTGGAGGCAGGTGAGTTTATGGTGAAATTCATTTCATGTTCCTTTGGACATATTTAAATGGCATGAAAATAGTCGCTGACTTTGATAAGCTTTCTTTTCCCTTCCTTTGTATTTTTGAGGACAGGTGTAGTTTTGGGGTAGCAAGAGTGACTGACAGATCTTTGGTATGTGAGGATTTTATATGAAAAAGAAGGAAACTGGCACCTTATACAAAGAGAAGAGGCAGTGATGAGAACACAGGCCACCCTCGAACTTGGCTAACATTCAGCATTCCTGGTTTTCAAACAAGGGAAACATAATTCAAAACATACTCCCTAAATATTTTAGGCCCCAGCAGAAACATATGGAGGCAAAATCCAGCTCACTGGAACCTACAACAATGTGCTTACTTAAGTGAAGGTATAAACAGACCACAGATACTATAATATATCCTTTACTTTAAACTATTTCATGTGAGCAAGTTTCATTTCACATGAATTTCTCAGGGCCAATTTAGGAAATATATCCTCCTTAATTGGTTAAAATAGCTCACTGACAACCAGAGTCATCAAAATTTAGTGTTAAATAATTAACCTGTTTCCTTCAGGAAATGCTTCTGAGTAATCTGAGTTAAGTATTTCCTCCATCTGATCTATTTCTTTTCACATAGAAACAGTATTATTTGCACACGACCTACTTTTAGTCCTCTGGAAAAATCTGACTGTGAGCTCAGGGTAAGGGTTGTCTACTGCACAGTAGGGCAAAAAAAGATTCATTTCACAGCCAAGATCACAATCTTTGTTTTTTTGCGGGGGGGGGGGGGTGGTGAGCTGGGGGACAAGGGAGACATCATTGTTTAGAGACAGACCCCGATAATTCATACTGAAGCTGGAAGATGGAGCCCTTGTGAAGAAATGTGGAGGGACACACTGACACCCAAAGGTGTTTACTCTGCAGAAACAGAAAGAAAGAAAAAGAAAGAAAGAAAGAATTTAACTGCTCTATAAAGAGAATGGGCAGAAACTTGGTAATGAGGGAGACAGAAGAAAGGTTAGGGAAGGGAGGAGAAACAAAGGGAAGTTGGATGTGGTGGGCAGAATCGCAGGACTCTGGAGCCTACAATGAAGGGTGATAAGGAAAAAAAAGTTCAAAAAGTTTAAAAAAATAAAAAAGTTAAAAATAGTTTAAAAATATAAAAAAAGAAGTAAAAAAAAAAAAGAAAGAAATTCCCAGGTTTATAGTGGCACCAAAGACTTTAAAATGGAGGGTTTTTTTATTTTACAGTTCAAGATGTTTGAGTTTCTCCTCCATGCCCCGAACATCAGTAAGGCCTGCTTGTGTGAGTGGCTTTGGGGGACACCACGGAGAGGGCTGTGCTCTGCGTTCAGGTTGGCCAGGAGCAGAATGCTGGTGTGGAAGGCAAGACAAGAAGAGAGATTTAACAGCTTTGTGAGAATAGAAACTCAGAGCCAGCAATTACCTTAAAAAGGTTAGCGTGGTAGGCAGAAAATGGTTCCCCCTAAAGATGTCCATGCCCTAATCCCCAGAACATATGAAGATGTTAGGTTCCCTGGCAAAGGGGGACTAAGGTTGCTAACCAGCCGACTCTAAGAGACACGAGCTGGATTATCCAGGTGGGCCCAGTGTAATCACCAGGGTCGTTAGAGGAGGAAGAGGGAGGCAGAAGAGGGGAGAGGAGTGAGAGGAGACGTGACCACAGAATAAGAGTCAGAGGCACACAACCTTGCTGACCTTGAGAGGCAGAAAAGAGGTCACAGGCCAAGAGACGCAGGTTGCCTCTAGGAGCCAGAAGAGGCAAAGATACAGATTACCCCGGGGCCTTCATAAAGAAACAGCCCTGCCAACACCTTGACTTCAGCAGACTTCTGAGTTCCAGAACCATAAGAGATTAAATTTGTCTTGTTTGGTGGGGACTTTTCCTTTTTTCTTCCCACTACCGTAACGTTTCGGGATGTTTGTTACAGCAGCAATAGAAAACGAATACAGTAAGCTGCTTGAAATGCACAGAAACTGCAGATAACATTGGACTGTCCACTTTGATATGGGATTGGGCTTATGTGGAATTAAAAGGACAGTGTGACCTTAGCAAACATCTGTTTTTCTCATTTTTAGGAAGAGAACAGTAAGTCAAAACCTCTGTAGTTATTATTTTAGACAACTGTCTCTTAAAATGTTATGTAACCCTGCACCTTAGGACCCCAAGAGAGCCTCTGTCCTTAGAAGCACATGGGTTCAGAGAGATGGGGTCTTACATCTGAGTCCCACAGTGGCCTCTTATTGGCAATACGAGCTTGGGCAAATCATTTACCCTCTTTAAGCCACAGAATATTCATCTGCAAAAGGGGGACAAGAATAAGGATTGTTTGGATGCTTAAATTACACACACACACACGTATAGCACTTAATACAGTGACTGGCACATACTAGGCACTCAACAGATTCCTATTACTGATTTTTAAATGCATGTTTAAAAGGAGGAGAAAGCTGTGGGAAGTTGTGGAAAAACTTAGTTCATGGCCCCAACAAGGGCCATCTCCCAAAGGGCTCTGATCAGCCACCAATGAGCAATAAGCATTAACTGCAGCAGTTGGGGATTTAAGTCAAATATAAAGGGGGAAGTTTTTAAACATAACTGTGAAACACTGGGTATGTTTACACTGTTGGCTGGATCATCTCATCTGGAGACCTTTAATAAGCAGAGTGTCCCCTGTTTTAGAGATGGGCACGCAGCTACGTGGACCACGCAGGGAAATGACTTGGCTGGGTGGGCCGCTCTCACCCCACGATCACACGACTCAGTACTCACGGAAGTAACACCTCTTGTATGTTGTTCCAGATTGCTTTTCCTCCCATGATTATTGTCAGCTGTGTCGTCAGTTCAAGGAGACAGCCACCTGGGTCACACTGGAATATTAAAAAGAAAATCTCATTTAAATTTTAGGTAGGTCTCACATGAAATAAAGTCATTCATTTTATTTTTTCTGATAATCTTGTTTAGGCTAAAAAATAATCCCTAGGGAATAGACAATGAAGACCCTTTTTATTGGACAACTGAGAGAAAACATGAAACAGCTTAGACTATCAACAGAACACAATACTGTATGCACACCTCTTCATTTCTGTATTTTCCCAGCCAATACACCGGATCTCCCGGATAACCCACAAATTTGCCCTTAAAGAACGCGATGTAGAAACACGAAGAGTAGTAGTTGACAAACTGGAATAGGAACATCTTCATGGTCAGGCTGTTCTCATAGTCAGTCTGGGTCCTTGGGAGCTCTGTAGTTAGAATGAAGCAAAGTTAAGACTGTAAAACACTAACCAGCTTTGAGACCCTAATCAAAGCCACCGATACATGGTTAACATGGTAAAAAACAAAAATACAATTCACACTGTTTCCATTTGAGCTGTTTTGAATTCCTTAACATAGCTACTATGTTAATTCCAAGTGTACACACTGTTGTAAGAGTTTCTCCCCACCATGAACACCATATCCCACAAGGCAAAAAAACAGTCAGCCGCTCCTTAAAATTTATAAGCACAATAGTATCCAATGGGCAAGAACTGTCTTCTCTCAGGTATAAGCTGACAGAAAATTACTTTTGAACATCCTGCTAAATGATATTCTCTTGTCCCCCTGAATGGCAATAAGGTAGGACTGTTCAAGAAAACAAAACAAAACACGGGGCAACTTGCTAGAAGCATTCGGGGAAGACAAAATGGGTCATCCTCCTGGTTTCGAGTTTAAATCGGTCTTAACATTTTCAGAAGATGACCGCTGAGCAGACCTTTTGGAGAACGACCCAGCCACATGCAGCATGTGGGAAGCACTTAACTTGGGCCACTAAGCTGCTGCCTGGGATACAAGCCAGAGAGAAGAAACATTTATTATAAAAGCCACAGCTGATGAGAATGGAGCTATATTAATATGAACAGCATGGAGGGAAGACACGTAACAATGTCATTACTTGTCCTCTCCATAAGGCCGGAACACATTTGCCACTGGAACCATGACCCTCTTCCACTTATTTGCAATAAAGAGACTATTTACTTTCAACAATAGGGTACATGATCTAATGTAATTGAAAATATTATTCAGCACTGATCTGTTTACACAGAGCTTGGACATTATAATACTTGCTTTGTCCCTTTTACTAATGCAAAGCTGGAGCTAATTCACTTCTTGTACAGAGAAAATATGTTTACACTTGAAATTTTCTAAAGACTGTAATATACTGGAATTGAAGTGCCTAAAAGATACAGTCTCTGTTTTGACCTGGTTCTAAAACTGGCGTAGAAATGACCTCGGCTACAGTAGGAGCTTACCAAAGTTAGTAATCATGATTGCCACTTTCTCATATATGGTGTTCAGGATCATGATGATGATAAAACTGATGAGGGAAGCAGTGATGGACGTGGCCATCTGCGGAGTCAGGTACTTCTGGATGGGGTCTGTTCCATTCAGGTTCTTGGGAAGTTTGGCAGAAAATACAATGAACACTGAGAGCCTGTAGACAATGATCCCAATAACTGAAGCAATGATCAACAGGATCTGAAAGCACAATAAACACAGCAGCATGAGACTCACCAGTGATCATACTTGTACACAGAAAAATTGCCCCCGCCCCACGTGTAAACGGACAACGTGCATGTGCTGTAGATCTCACACAGATGTGAGAAGTGATGTACATCTTACATAAATGCCACGAGAGACGTGAATATCAGGCATGTTAAATTTCAGAGGAGGAGGAATGATGGACGTCAAAAAGAATTAGTGCATCCACGAACGTAACACGCTAACAGCAGGAGCAGCTGTGTGCAAGGCATGGGGAGTATGTGGGGACTCTCTTTTCTGTGAATTTTTCTGTAACCTAAAACCACTGAAGAAGTCCTGCTAGAGTATATCTTCGAATGGGGTGAAAATGGAGTAACTGGTGGCATGTTCTTTTGGAGACAAGTCTGTGATAGCAGAACCGATGAAAAACATCACTTGTACATCTATAGAATTACTTAGGTTATGAATGAGTTGTAACCCATGAAGGGGATATGCTTCCTTTCAAGGGAGAACCTGTCACTGATTTGGGGGCCAGCAGGTGCTAGCTGTCATCTTCATTCTGAATAGGACCAGTGAAGCTGCGGAGATGCCCTGAGGGAACCCCTGGAAATGGCAGTGGGGTCTCTGTTGATAAAAGCTCACGTGCTTTTCATACTCCTTGAGATCTTACACTGGCAGCTTATTCATAATACCTGCATTTGCACAGGATTCAGTTCCCTAATCCATTGTAGTTCTGACTGTGTGAACCCAAGGGCAGCAGGGGTGTCTGAAGTATAATTTGCACGTGGCTGGCAGGGTTTCACTTCCTCAGTAGGCAGGTTTTTTTTCTGGCCACTGAAGAACGAACATTAAAGGTTTCGTTTTTAAACTGTTTTCCCTCCATCTGCCTTCTTGGTCATAGTCCAGAAGCATGTGCTCAGTGTCCCTGGCTGCTCCTGATGGCTGCCCCGAGAGAGAAAACTACAAAGAACGTGAATTTCAGGACTAAGCGAACCTCATCGTGTTGTTTACAGTAACAGCGGAAGGCTGGCTTGCACCTGCAGGGAACAGCAGAGGGAGCGTTTACAAGCCCCTCCTGGAGCCACACTCCTGCATCTGGATCCCAGCTCCGCTGCTAGGCTGCTAGTTGTGTGACCTTGTGCAAATTACTTAACCTCTGAGGCCTTCGATCTCCTCACCCATATAATGGGGGGATAATAATAGCAACTTACAGGATTATTGTGACGAGTGGATGAGTTACTACAGGTGAAAACAATTAGAACATTAACCCCAGGCACGTGAAAAATTCTACCTAAGTATTAGCTACGATTATGGTGACCAAAGTGTTAAGAAGGTGTTTTTCTTACATTTTAAGCCATCAGTTCGTAGAGAAAACATTTTATTTCCTCCTCTACTCTCTCTCGTTATCTTCTTTTCTTCACAGTTAAGGCCTCATGCTTGTGAAAGGAGTAACGTATTTTTGGTGTGTGTATGATTAAATGTGAAAATTAGTTAAGGCTGAGAAAAATGTATTACAGAAGGTATATCGAGCCTTCCTCTCTTGTACAGCACATATAGTCTATTTAAATAGTATGTATTTTTTTAAAAAGTCTGCATAATAATTTTTAAAATTATATATTAAGTCATCATAATAGTTAAGATTCTTTAAACGCTTACTGTTGCTTCAGCACACATCTATTTTTTTAAATCCTCACAATCACCCTATGGGGAAGGTAGTATTATATATCTTTTACAGATGAGGAAATAGAGCCACACAGAGATGATGCAATTTGCCCCAAATGAAGCAACTATTAAGTCAAAGAACTGAAATACAGAGCCCAAAGACACATTAACCTCTGTATAGCACTGCCTCCTGCATGGTCTGTGAAATGAATTCTAATTCATTTCAGAACTTTTACCAACTTAACATGTTTCCATTTTTCTTCCGAGCACTTAATGGGTTCAGTATTTCTTAGGAGACACGAAAGCTTTTCATTCTCCTTCCTCAAGTTTCTTCTTACATATCATCTTTTCTGATCATAACTTTAATATCCACTCATTATAGAAAATTTGAAAGTACCCACTAGTGGACAGATCTGCTGTCTTGCATCTGTCCCCAGTCTCAGAAAAGGACCCAGATTTTGCTTTAGGATAAATAACCTCCCCTCTGTTTTTAGTCCTGTGGTTTGGGCTCAAATTGCCCCACCCTCCCCGAGGCGCCAGAGGTAGATCCTAGTTGGTTTCAAACAAATAGGTGTCTCATTCTATTGGCCTCAGCACACGATTTGAGGATTGGCAAATAACCCAGTAAGAGCCACTGCAGTGTGAGGAGATATATGCTGGTGCCCATGTGAATGATAAACTTCCTCTGTCAAGAGAGGAAGCTGCCAAAAGAGACCTTTCTTGGCTTGGATGGATGTGAGATCTGGGATGCCGAGTTCCGAGAAGCAGCACGCTGGGACACCATTGGACAAAGAATGAATACAGGACAAAACCAGCCCTTGACATCATATGGGCTACAGTATCTCTCCTTGCCTGAAGCCAGACCTCAGACCTGAGGTTTTCAGTTACAGGAAACAATAAATCCCACCCATCCCCATTTTTTGGTGGTTGTTTACACCCATTAGAGATTGATTGATTTTCTGTCACCTACAGTTGAAAGACTCCAACTCAGAAAATGAAGAAGAAAAAATAAAAATAAGAAAAATGTATCTACCTATAGGCATAATCCCTTCAGAACTACCTATTGTTTGCATATTAAAAATCACTTTACATAATTTTATTCTCAAGCCTATCATAATCATAAAACTTTGACATGTCATAAAATATTTTTATGGACACACTTTTTCATGGCTGCATAATATTATACTATAAGAAAGGTTGGAAGGAGAATATTTTGGCTGAGATTTTATGTATATACATATGCACATATATAAAAATGTATATACTTTATATATATATATAAATATAAATATGTCTGTGACTTACATCCATACTGACTTCCCTGCCACTTTGAAATACTTCCTGATTGAAAGTTTTTCAAAGCTGAATTAGTAGATTAAAGCATATGAATATTTTTGACTCTTGATATGAACTGCCAGACTGCTTTCTAAGAAGGCTGGAGGAGTACACCAGAAACTAACACAGCATTGTAAACCAACCACACTTCACAAAAGATACCCAGTGGCCCAGGTATGAGAGCTGCTGATCACTGGCACTTCATCGTCATAAACACAGAGCCTTATCACTTGAGAGGTGAAAAACTGTATTTCATTTTGATGTGCACTGATTGAATTACCACTGGGGCTTGACATCTATTTTTCCCTTTGTAAGTGTGTATTCATCTTCTCTGCCTTCTTCGCTCCTGAGATTTTTTGGTGTTATCTTAGAAGTGATCTGAACTCTCTGTGTTGAAGAAATTAGCCCCTTGTCAGATTTGTTAACAAATACATCCTCTGGTGTTTTGTTTAAACTGAGGATGCTTCTGATGCATGGAAATCTTCATATATTTTCCTCCAAAACTTCTCCCACATCTAGAGATTGTATATTCATCCATATTTATTTCTAGTTGTTTTCTTTTTATCATGTTACTTTTTAAAATGTTTCTGGAATTTATCTCAGTATATGGTTCACTGTATGATTTCAATCTTTTCTTTTCCCGCCAAATAGCTAACAAGTGTTCCATTTACTGAATAATCTTTATTTCTCTCCCTGATTTGTAATGCCTTCCATCTCATATAGAAGTTATTATTTCTATCAGAGCCCATATCTGGACTTCCTATTCTCTGATCTGGCTATTCTTGAGCTAGTAAAACTCTCATTGTCTTACTAATTATTACATTACATTATATAATTTTATTAACAGTAAACCCCAAATTAATTTTATAAGTTCTGATATTTTTGAGATATGGTCTTTTTATCTAGAATCATGTGTTTAAAGCTTCTTTTATGTCTTTTAGTAGTTT